GGAACTCGCATATCAAAATGTCGGGGATGCTCCTGGGAAAACTCGAATTAAAACGTTTAAGGAGACCAATCTGGGCGTGGTTCGAGTTTATGTGCCCCCCTCAAAGATACCCCTGAAAACACAATTTTTACAATGACTGTCTAATTTCACGCGTGCTGAATGGCTCATTTTTATCATCACTAAGAGTACAGACGGATAAACTTTTAATTTATGCAAGCTTTCAAGTTCAACTTTCAGCTGTCAGATTTCATGGACTTTTTTAAGTAGCCAATCAAAAAGCGAGAAAAGCTATTGACAATGTTCGCGTCATTTTGAATAAAATTCACTTATCTTTGTTTACGACCAGTTTACGCGTTTTTTCCCCTCATTTATTCCTGGAATTTGACCAGTTTGGGGTCTTGTTATTGTAAAAAACAAATTAACATCAGTTTTTTATGCGTCTGTCCTCTTATTGATGATAAATTTCGTCATAACATTGTCAAAGTTTATTGCGGAACCACTCGCCTGCGGCTCGTGGTTCCACAGCCATTTTGACAATGTTATGACGCAGTTTATCATCAACAAGAGGACAGACGCATAAAAAACTGACGTCAATTTGTGAAAGGCTCGCTTAACGCCACTCGATTTTCGGCATTCTGATAGGTTGATCGAATAGGTTCCGTGTATTTTAAGGACAATTTTAGAAGGAAAACGTGCAAAGCAGGTTTGGCTACTTTCAATTACTTGTGAACACCAAGGAAAAGACTTCTTCACGGTACGTAATACGAAAGTCGCTCTAAATAATCTCAACATCCTTAAAATAGCAAATCAAAAGATTACACTGACCGCATCAATTTTTTGATCGAGCATTCTGAAAAACTCAAGTTGAGACTTTGTCATCTGCCTAATAGGGACAAAATGCAGGCGTGGTGAGTATACAATGCGAGATTCAGTAAAGAGCTAGTTCAAACCCCTTGGGGGGGGGGGGATACTCCCAGAAAAATCTGGTGGGGGTGTGAGGCCCAATTCCCAAAACCCTTACCCTATTTAAGACCAAAGTCTGTGATTTTCCCTTCCCTATTTATGACCTGACCTAAAATTTGCTACCTTGTTTAAGACCTGATACTTAAATCAACAAACTGTTTCTAAAAAAACCCATACCCTTTGGTGCCCCACATACTTACATAGCCCATGTAAGGTAGTCCCTCCACCCACCCCCACTCCCGGCGGTTGAAACCAAGTCCAAACCAGGAACAAAACTTAGTAATTAGTAGCAGTAATGGTATGAACAAACGGAGTTCTTTGTTGGGATGGGGGAGGGATCTCATAAATAAGTGATGGTCTTAGCTAAAGGTCAGTTTACAAGTTAAACCAGGGTGCAAAGATGGTAAATTATAAATACAACACAGCATCATAATAACAGGTAAATTGAGCACGTCCCTCTCCCAACGGTAACGTATAGGGTCTCCTCCTCCTTCCCTGGGAAGAATATGTATTGAACAGAATCCTATTAATGAGCTTATCAGTGGTAAAGTTTAGGTACATTTTTACACAGAAGATGGTCTATATTCACTCATGGGAGGAAAAATTATTGAAATAAATTTAAGCTGCTTACAGGATCTCAGAGTTCAGGAGTTCAGGATCCTACAAGTTTTTGAAGACTTCTGAAAAATTCTTCAAAATAAAGGTCTTCCAGTTCTTGTAAAGAACTCTGGAAGATCTTTCAAAGTTCCTAAAAACATGCAAGGATCCTTTAAGCCCAATCCTTGGCAAAATCTTGGACCAAAATCTTTGAAGACTGTAGAGATCAATGAAAGATTATTACAAGGGGATTACATCTGGAGTACTTACACTCTGATTTGGTTAACTGGAACAGGTTTAGGAGTTGTGCAGAAATTATCATTAGGTCTGAAAAAAAAGGGAGAGCAAATGATTATACACACATCAGCAATTTTCAAGTGATGTTTTACTCCTGGTAAACGGGAAATTACTGTAACAATTTGCTACTGCTTAGAAAATAATATTTCTTTGTTCTAGCACCTTGTTGCTCTGAAGGAAAGCGAAGTCCTGCTTGATGGGAAACTAATTTAAATGAAACCACTAAGTGGAGGAAATGACAATTATTTGAAACTTTGTTCAGAAGCCATACCATATATTTATCAAAATCTAAAAAAGGAACTTAAGGCATCTCAGAGTGTTACCTGATTGGTACAGTCTTCTTTGACAATATTCGATCTTCATTCTGGAAAAGAGCACAGTATTGTTACTTACAATTTAACAACACCAGATGTATCCAGCTTCTGCTATAACTACCATATTACAACATGACTTTTTTAGCTCAATTATTATATGTATTTTGTTTTATTTCTGAGGGAAATTAAATCCTGATTCCAAATCTTTCAAAAAAACAAACAAACAAGCAAAACATCAATTGAATTTACCTAATAGCCAGGGACTTGATATTTTTGTATCAATTGTTTTCTTCTGTTAGCAGAGGAAAAAATTCTGAATACATTCTTTTCTTATCTTTCTGGGCTGGGTTGTTCGAAAGCCGGTTAATGCTAACACAGGATTAAAAGTTAACGGAAGTCTTAATTCTTCTTGCAAAGAATGTTTTTCGCTGCTTATGTTTTGTGTAGTTTGAGATTATTGAGACTAAAAACTGAAGGACAAACAATATATAAACAGAAACCCTCACCACAAAGTTACAAAACTGAAATAAAAATTCTCGCTAATCCTGGGTTAGCTTCATTGGCCTTTGAACAACCCAGCTCAGGGTACTTTGTAGAGGTCTAAGTCTGAAGTCTAAGTCATCAATTGTTTGCCAGATGTCAGTGTGAATTTCTATATTGCTATTTGCCATTGCCCGACCTCCCACCCACTCACCAACCCTAGCCTGGACTTGCCCACTGGACTTGCTTGAGTAAAGTTTGTCAAACTTCTCACTCAGATAATGCAGTTTTTTTGAAAACTAATTTAACTATCAATTTACCCTGCAGGACCAAATGGTGTTGGTAAAAAAACCCGATATATTAAAATTTTGCTTTTTTGGAACATGTCTATTTCGTTTGTGTTTTTTGTTTTGTTACCTACTAGTGGCAGTTTAAGTTAATAACTGAAGGTTGGTCTGTATAATTTTGCTTGGTATGGCTCGCAGCTGAGTGCAAAGAAAAAGAACATTCACAATTTCGACACCCTGAACATTAACAATCTTGTGATAAATTGTGGAAAATTCGTGAGGAAATACCTTTGATCGTGTTTGGAACAAAAGAGTTTTGCTAATCATGAAGTCAGCAAACCCTGACTGCATGCACTACAGGACTTAACCTGCGTAGCAGGCGTATAAAGGGAAGGGGGTGGGGGAGGAGAAAGAGAATTCGGGGAAAAAAAACGGAGGAGTGGGTGAGGGGGGTGAGGGGAAAAAGGAATGCCTGCTATAAAGACCCCTATGGGTTCATTTCTGCGGTCGTTGGCGGCCGCAAAATTCTGATTGGTTAATCGGACAATAAGACAGGTTTGTGAAGTAATGCAAAAACAACCAAAATGGTGGCTGAAGTGGATATGCTAGCGAGAGCTTTGGCTGATTTGAAGATCATCGTTCATAGTGAATTCAAGTTAAAACCAGAGCAAGAAGTTGCAGTAAAATCTCTTCTAGATGGAAAAGATGTATTAGTGGTGTTGCCCACAGGATACAGCAAAAGCCCCACGTATCAAATGTTTGTTTGTGCCATGGACTTTGAAATGAATGGTAAAGCAACGATTCTGGTGATTTCTCTGTTGGTTAGCATCTGAAAACAAGGCTTTTTTGGAATTAACCTTTCCAGTACTTTTTTGGTTGCATTTACCATCTGTTCCAATAAGCTGTATTTTGGTGTTGCTTCTTTCAGGCATGCTAGTGGTGGGAAGTTGTCTTTTGCATCAATCATCCGAATCCTTGCAGTTTAAATCTTCATTGACTTTTGGGCTGCATACAGCTTGCTCACTAAAACTGTACAGTTCAGCTGCATTTCTTATTTTGCGACCACAAGATCTACAGATCCGCTCTGAAGAGTTTTTGTCTCTCATTAGTGGAAACCCAATCGAACTGCAACAATCAGCTAAAATCAGCCCAACACCTTCTTCTCTGCCCGACAGCGAAAATAGATTTTCAAATGACGCTCTTCCTCCTCCAGAGGTGAAGTTTACTCCACAAAATCTACAGCTGCTGTTTTTTTGAATGTCTATCTTTGGTTTTCTTCCTCTTTTACAAACCTTTGTGGGAGTTGCTGACGTTACACGGCTTGAAGATTTTCTCACAATGCTCGCTGCTATGCTATGCTCTACGCCTTCCAGTGTAAAGTCAGTCATGCAGAAAAGCGTGCGCCTTATTCTGATTGGTCATTGAACTGACAGCTCTGTTAATCCAATTACCATAGAACAGTAGGTGGAAATGCAAAAGAAGCGGCTTTTGTAGCAGGCGTTCTCTTCCCCGAATTCTCTTCCTCCTCCTCCCCTTCCCCTTTACACGCCTGCTACACAGGCTAACAGGACTCAGAGTTGAAGATTATTACCTTATCCTTGTTAATGTCATTTTTCGGTTCCGGAATATCAGGCTCTTTGACTGAGGAAATGCTATTTGATGAATCCTTTCTCTTAGTGTTCAAGGCACTGCTTTCCAGTGAGTGTCTGGGTACATCTGTAATGTGGTGCAAAATATTCACCTTCAATGATTCATTTACTAAATCAGACAGTAGCAGCATGCGTTAAGCTCAGCTATAAAGTATGGTTACAGTGATAAAATGGCAAAAATAGTGGAAAAGCAATATTATTAGGCATGTCAGAAACTGCTTCAAGCTTTGAATCAAAGTTTAAGGGGTGTAGCAATAAAAATGGAATTTCCGTTAACCTTCCTTGGGGTGGGTATGGATATTTTCTGGAACTACACATTTGATGGACTATATAACTTACATGGTAGGTACCATAAACTGCTCTTAACCAAAGGCTTAACTGTTTGCACTCTTACCAGGTGTATGTACTGTGCAACCATTCTCCTTAGCTGAGTGGGAACTAGAGCTGACCTCTGGGCTTGTAGTCATATGTTTACCAGCAGAACATCCCATAATATTAGCCCACAAGGGGCGAGTCTCTCGCCAAGACCACCCAATGGTGAAAGAGACTTGAACCTTGCTGTATTATTTATCAACAAACTGTAAAGACCAAACAAAATAGACACAAGCGATAAGTTGTGAGTTTTTGATTTTACAGATGAACCCCTATTAAGTGGCCACCTACTAAACAGCCACCGTTATTCTAAAGGTGGCCAGCAATCAAAGTCCCGACGAGGGCCTTTCTATTGTGTTTACCTCTATTAAACGGCTAGCACCCCTTTAACATTATCAGAATACATTTCCATAAGGGTGGCTGTTTAATAGGGGTTGAACTGCATTTACCTGTCATTGAAGCTAAATCTTATAATCTCATAACAGTGGTTATCAATCACACCCAACCTTCAGTGCAAAAACATCTTGACAAAAGCTTAGTTTTGGTGGACGTCAATCATCTCTGCCTCCTTGCCAACTGTATGCAAAATTTACCTGAAAAAGTGAAACCTTGCAGCAGTCCACTCATAAAAATTATCATTTTACTTTCGGTATGTACAGCTAGCTCACTAAATACACTGGCATTAAATATTCCTTGAAATCTATAAATGAAGACGTTTGTCAGGTTTTTCAACAGCCATTCGCATGCATGAATGACCCAGAGAGCAAGCAAATCTACAATACATTATTTCTCCACATATTTTTCTTGGGGCTATGGACTGAACAATACTTAATCCTATAAAACTTATAACTTATTACCTTACAAAATTTTAAGGTTTATACAACGTTTAAGTCTCGTTCAGTCCATAGCCCCAAGACAAATACGTGCAGAAACAATTATTTGTTTGCATGTAGATTTGCTTGCTCTCGGGTTCATTCATGCATGCGAAGGGCCGTTGAGAAACCTGATTGCGACCTGCCTATCTTCAGTCATAAATTTCAAGGAATATTCAATGCTAATGTATTTAGTGAGCTAGCCATGCAAACTGAAAGTAAAATGATCATTTTTACGAGTGAACGGCTGCAAGATGTTTTTTTTGGTAAATTTTGCATACAGTTGGCAAGGAGGCGGAGATAACTGGCATCCACCAAAACTTGGGTTTTGTCTAGACGCTTTTGCGCTGAAGGTCGTGTGTGATTGATAACCACCGTAAAGATATTATCACTCAGAGCAGATCAGGTTTAGTAATGAGAAAAGTCTTCAAACACAGATTTATTACAAGCCAGCTTCAAAATTTTCAACATACACTTTCAAGGGAAGCCTAGGTGCTTACTTGCTTGAACCTCAACTAGTTATTAGACAAGTTGATTCAGGTTCTTTCAAATTTTTGTGCACTGGACCACTGGTCAAAATAGTAATTTACAACACCCTTAGTAGCCATAAGCAATGTCAAAGGATCTTGAATCATGACTTTTTTAGTTTAGTGTTTTGGGGAGGCCACACTTTTAACTCTCTTGTAATGATCAGAGATTTTTTTTTCTCTATAATGTTTGTTAAAGTGCATATGACATGAAAAATATTTTCTTCTTATTTGAAAGACCTTTCAAAATACAGAAGAATGGGGTTTTTCTTTTTGAAAGATCTTTTTTCATTTTAGAGATATTAATGTTTTTCTATTACACAAAATAGATCAGTGATGACGTCATATTGTTTGCAACTAAAAATGGTAAAATACTGTATGAACAATATCTCTAGGAATATTGAAGCAGTGTTCTTGAAACTTTACACCACAAATGTACATCACAAAAGAAACAAAATGACACCCTTAGGCTGAACATTGCCATAGGAACTCTTTCAGCTCCACTCTCTTTCTGTCAAAAAACCAAATATTCCCATTTGCAACCTCCAAAGTGAGACAAAGGGTCCTACTTGGAACAGACATAGTTCCCATATTGTCTTGACTCCCATCATCAGATTTGGTGGGGTACATGGTTCTTGGTTTAAGACAAAAACTGGGAATTTCAGTTTTTATTAAGACAGCACCAGCGGCAAAACTGTTGTCATGGCAACAGCACTAAGGGTGTCATTTTGTTTCTTTTGTGATGTACGTTTGTGGTGCCAAGCTTCAAGAACACTGCTTCAATATTTCCAGAGATATTGTTTATTCAGTATTTTACCATTTTTAGTTGCAAACAATATAACATCATCACTGATCTAGTTTGCGTAATAGAAAAACATCAATATCTCTAAAACGAAAAAAAGATATTTCAAAAAGAAAAATGCCATTCTTCTGTATTTTGAAAGGCCTTTCAAATAAGCAGATATTATTTTTCATGTCATGGGCACTTTAAGTCTACAACCTTCATCTGTTAACACTTGAAGAATACAAATAAAAATGAAGAACCAAAATGATTGACCAAGTGCTCAGAGGGGACTGAACAACAAATTGATGATGATTTTTCCTCCAAATCTGTCGTAATGACCCTTCTACAAAATTTTAGGAATTAAAAAATGGTCAACATTAAAGATTCATGCAAAACAAAGTCTAAATCTGAAAGACAAATTATGCACAAAACAGAATAAATACTTAGCTATTAGTACCTATATTAGAAGATAACTTCTACAGTGTACATTTGTATGCATTCGACTACTTTCTCCTAAATATTCCACCCTATTTTCCCTCTAAAGCTGAGTTACCAAATTATTATTTAATATTGCTCTCATTGGGAGTAACTGACCCTTATAAATATATATTTTGGCATTATTCATAGCAATGGAAAACTTTTTTCTTATATATTTAGAAGTGAGGTCACACAGGCTCGAATTTGACTCAGCTCTTCCTCACCGGTTTCTTTACCTGTGACTTGATTATTCACCAAACTACTTATAGAAATAGTTTGCAAATCACTTGTGTATCGCATGCTTATTAATTTCAAAATGCAAAATTTAAAACCGCTAACCATATATCTTTGGAATGCTGATAACATTTACATATTGGCTAGGAACCTACAAAGTTGCTGCCTGCAAGTGTAGTAGTAAATTTACACAAACTTGCATTTTAAAGCTAAGCATATTGAAGTTGCATCATCCATTGCTTTTACTTGAACCTGACAGCTTGATAATGATGACAAATCAGGAAGATATTGGGAAACCTAAGGCAAACAATTTATCAGTAACAAAGACATTAACGACAGGGCTTCTTACACCTTCCCATGTTTAATGACAGTTGCAGCTGTTTTGGATTATTCAACAATGCACTGTTCAACATTAATGTCAATAAACTTAAAGGGAACATTTTTATTTTCATATTAGAAGCTGGGTTCAAAGCTGCTCTCCCCAAAGTGTAAAAAATCCTTGATCATATTTTTATTGGGTGTCAAAAAGCTTTTTAAACATTTTCAATTTAAGATGTGTAGAAAGTTATTTGTTCTGAATTTGATGCAGTTATGAATCAAAAGATATTAAATAAAAATAATTCTTATCAGAAGTGAAGAGCAGAGAGTGGGACATAGTTTTGAGGTCTGTATATCATAAAGCAAAGCAAATTCAAACCGTATTACTCTCTCAGACACTGGGATAACATTGTGGGTTATCAAGTCCCACAGCAACCACAAAGTCAGGTGACTTACACCATTCAGCCACACTGCAGACTATAGCTTGAACAAAAACAAAAAAGCCACCTCTTTCACACTTGCCTGTATGTTATCAATTGAAAATCAGGAAGCCATTAACAGCTTTGCTCTCTTTAGTGCATTAAAAAGTTATTTCTCACAGGAAACTTATCTTCCTGTTCCTGTTGTAAAATCCAAATCTTTCCAAATCTTTCTAAAATCTTACATTTTAAAAGCAAAATATAATGGCATGTTGATAGCTAGCTAACTCAAGAATAACAAGATCCTCAACATCATCAGTGTAGTTTTAATAGATACTCGTTGTGAGTATAACAAAAAGTAAAATTTTACCCTTTGACCTCTGTATAAGTTGTTTAGAGGGCAAAATAAAGGAAGTCTCCATAACAAATCCTCTTTTTATCCCACCTTTGCTGATTTCTATTAAGCAGCCAGCTTGAAAGAAGGTCTTTTAATGGACATTTTTATGGTAACCACACCTCTGATTAGATAACAGTAACAATATTTAATAACAATTTTGCCCCATTCTACAGTGCCTTCAATAAAAACAAGTCTATAACAGGGTTTACTCTTCAAACAAGAATTCCCTAGAGGTCCCTAGATGAAAATCAGCATTACTGGTGATTATCACATTTGCAAAGCCATGCAGGTTATCTAGTGTGTGTCCCAGATACAGCCTAAATCTCCTGGATAAGTTGACAGATATGATGCAAAATACTTTGCCACTGGTTTTGGTCAAATTTCGATACATTTTGAGATTTACTTTGGATAAAACCTAGACGACCACACCACATGGGCAATTTCCTGGATTTGAATTTTCTCCATCTGGGCATAATATTATTAAGACATTACGTTCTTGGTGTTTATCCCACTCTCCTTGGAGGGGCATTGGGAGGTGCAAAACACCAATATAGTGTAAGAAAAATACTTAGCAAGGTTAATATCACAATAGCACAGTAAGCCTGCATATCTGGCAGTTTTGTGGGTACCATTCAATCTACAGCTAGGTAGAATCTAGAAGCATCTAGAGTTACTTTTGGCTGTCTCCTGCAACTCTTATGAAAAAACTGAAAAAACTTATGCTCCTTTCATGCTCTTCAAACTTCCCGTATGCATCAGAACTCAGTAATGCATACTAAACAATGTCAAAATGTTCACTGCTTTTATTTAGTTTAATTAAGTCAACTCTCTGAAATGGTCACCTCTCTAAAATGGCCACTTCAATTGTCCAGGTAGACAGTCTGTTAATTCACAAATTGGCCACCTCTCCACAACAGCATCCCAATTGCTGAAAATACCCCTTAACAAGGGCCAGTCAATCAACAACTAATGAATTGTGTACACAAAACACCATTTTTTGTAGCAAAATCTGAACATGAGAAGACTTGGACATACATATTATTTATTTCATTTATTTCATACATTCAGAAGATTTCCAGTCCATACTGCGCAGTCTCAGCACCCTAATGTTTATAAACATTTTAAGTCTCACTCGATGGAATGCGAATTGATGTTACTCGTTACGAACCATGTACCTTATCTTTGAGGCCTTTCAAATTCTTTTTCCAACAGCTTCATTGATTTGTACAGCTGCGAAGTTGTTTCATCAAGTGATATGAGAAAGAATGAGGCATAAAGCTTTGACTGCTTCGCATCCATAATGGTAGGACTTCGTTTTGCAACTTTTAAGTTTACTTCATGTAAGAAGTTGCAAAATGTTTACATTTTGTGATGTCTTGCATGAAACAAAACAAAAATATGCAAAGAAACTCTCGAGAGTGTGCAGTATGGACTGGAAATCATCTTTTAAGCCGAAGAACTCTACGGTTTTTAGACTGAGTTTTCTATGTTATGTAAATAGTATAATACAGTTGTATTACACAAAAAGAACTTAAAAATATTCTGAATTACTCCAAGGGTAGAAAAAAGTGAAGTAACCTTAAAACAATAAAATATGATTAAATTCAATGAAACATGCTGATTGGTCAGAACAAATTCATATGTAAATTTAAAATATATTTGCCAAACATCTCCATAGAAACAAATTGTGAAATACATTTTTTTTTTAATGAATTGTACCTTGACAGCTGCTTTGTAAATTATTGAAGTCAAATTGAACGTAAAACAAATTATTTTAACCCTTTTATCATAAACCTGCATAAACAAACCACAACAACTATTTTCTAAATCTTTGCCACTTTCCTAATTTCTAACACGAAAGAAGCGATAAAAGTCATGTCCAGGAAAAAAAATTGTACGAATAAATAATTCCTCTTAGCTAGGAAGGCTATAGAAAATTTATTTGGAGTGGTAGGGAGAGTTTCAGTATTGATGGACACGGCTAAGGAGTGAGGACAAATCCAACATCGTTCAATTAGAAAACATTTTGACATACAATATTGAACTGTACGACCAAGTTTTTCTGTCACTGAACGGGTGACTGATAAAGAGACAAAATTTATCGTGTTAAAATTTTTACAACAACTTTCGAAAATTACTGGTTATAAACTTCACACCGCGATACATTGATAAGAAGACTCATTTTGCTCGATGAGTGCAGGAGAGTCAAAATACGTTTTGTTTTTGACATCTATCATTCTGGAACGTTACGAAAACATTGAAAGTGTTTAAAATAGCGCCACTGAAAAGTAAAATGGATGTATTCATTGAAATAAACCACGGTTATTGCCCACCACGCGAAAATTTCGTAACATCAATGCTATGTATACTCAATGACTATGCATAATCGCTTCTTACTACATAAATCTTAATAAGCGCGAACATGTTCCGAAACAACAACCCTTTTATTGCGATTCCATGCCAAAAAAAAATACCTAACGCTCACAAAAAACTACGTACATAGCCTTACAGCTCTCGTGACGATAGTGAAAGCCGAGTTTTCGACGGTTCTCAAGCAAGGGAACTCAACAGAGCGGCAAAACTAGCTTACAATAACATTAACCTCAGCAGCTGGGCAGCTGCGCATAGTAGCTCGATGCGCTTTGCTCGTGTCGCTCAATGATGGCGAAAAAGAAAGTAAAACTCAATTAGCGCCAAGCGTAAAGGTGTGTTCCCTGGTGAGTTTTTCAATTCTCACTGGCCATGTTCGCTTGTGTCTGGTAATCCCTCCACAAACAACGTCAAAACAAAAGGAACTCACACTGTTCACAGAAAACGGATTACCGACTATGCAAATGACCAACATAAAGTTCTTGTAGTTCAATAATCTTCTCATATTTTGCGAACAATTCAGTTCAGTTTGTCAATGTTCAAGTCCGCAAATTTTCACGCCAAGAGCGACATTCCGGTTAAAGATTGAAGACAGGAACAGTCTATAAGATGTACCAATTTAAATCATTAAAAAAAATTACTCGACAGCAAGCCAGCGCGATTCGCTAAGCTGAATATCGATTCACTCGATGTGCTTGTTTTCAACCAGACCAAGCGAATGATAAATAATTTTAGAAAACAACACGCAGCTTACCTCAGTAATGAATCAGCATCTATTTCACGACAATCATTTGCGAGAGACCCAAGTTTAAAGTAAGTTCAAGATCAACCAACGACCTGTGCATTGCTTCATCTACATGTATTATAACGAGAACTTCGCGCCGACAGCCAGCTCTAAGCAACTTCTTCACATTGCCACACACTGAAAAATACGAATCATCGAAATATTTCACTTCTAAACACAGTAAGCACAAAGTACTACCGAGCGAGAGAACAGCGTACAAACGTTCGAACTATCTATCGATGTAAGAAATGAATCTGTCTGCATTAGAGCGAACCCTTTGATCATAACACTTTATATTCTCACCAATAAAACGTGGCCGACAGAACTCACGAACAGCCAGCAATCTCAGGAATTTGTACTCAGCCGCTCTGTGCTGTCCACTGTCAAAAGAATATCTTGTCCAGGAAAGATGCAGTTATTTTTACGCGGCTTTAATGCTTGTGAAACGAGAGCATTAGTCCTGTGGGAAGGTTGCCCGGTTTATGTGTTTTTCTGATACTGGACCAAGTTTGTGACGTTGCCACGGAGAACGGAAGAAGGAATGAGTGACGGGATATGGCCCCTGCCACCTCCGCCCGGGAATCATTTGCGACTCGTTTCCCGCCCCCACCGGAAATAAATCTTAGAAAATTGTACTTCTTTCAGCTTCTTTTTAGGCTGAAATTTTTTTTAGTTATACCAACAGCGTCTACAGGCCCTTTAGCAGACATCAGCTATACAGAAATGTTTCTTGTACTATCTTTTCAGCTTTTCAATACAGAAAACATTGACTACACTCATTTCCAGCGGAAGACAATTGACTGTCTTCAGCGGGTTTCCGATCATGTAATAAACAAAACTAACAAGAAAGTATGAAGTTTTACATGGCAACAGCGACACATCTCAAAAGAAACAAAACGCTAGACATGAATCTGTCTTTGTTTTAGGTTGCAAAAAAAGGCCATATGATCCACGCAACCTGCTCCATAACAAGAATCCCCTAGGAGTATTGCCACTTTCCCGCGATGGGTAGCCGATCCACATGAAGCTTTGTATGTTTTCAGGTGGACAAATGAACATTCACGAAACACTGTCCACCGAATGTTAAAGACGTAATAAGCATTAACCCGGTGGGGACAAGTTGTCAAAGAAGGGATGCGAGCAGATGCGAGGGAGAGGGTTACACATTAGTTAAAAAGGATTCTCTGTTACGTAGGTAAAGGATCTGTCGATCGAAGTCTACAAGGAGTATGAAAAAACTATACACTTAGTCAAGTCCGACACACACACCCGATCTGTTGAGTCCTACATCTGTACGTTTTTGACGGCACCAAGCGCACACACAGTCACATGAGAGGAAATTGAATTCTTAGGAGCTGGGGAGTTAACTATGCCAAAAATATGCGCCTCAGGATCATCTAACGTTATAGGGGCTTCGTTTGCTAATTTTTTTGGGGGAAAATTTCTTTTGCGCCGGTTCAGTCAAGAATAAATATGTTGTGTGAAAAGGTAAGGAACATACAACAGTCATACAATTCTAGGAATGAGAAAAATGCACGTGTAATACTCAACCCAAAACAAGCTAACAACGAACACTACCTGGACAGTTGGCTATGAAATAAATCAATGATTATGCATGAAGTCGTCCATTTCAACCTCGGAATCAGAAACATAAGAAATCTAAGGTTTGTTGCGTAGCTGAGATGTCATCATTGAAAGCATTTCTTTATTTATTTGTGTCTATTACGCATACTTCCCGGCCTCGTGCACAGGATGTCGTCGCGTGGGCGGGGGTCTCTCATCCGTCAAGATTAATAAGATTGAAAAGAAGAAGGCTTCCGAAATAGGTGCTAAACAGACAAAATACGTTTTCGAGTGACACCTGAAGGCTTTTAATCGACACCTTTTATTTTCGTTTTTTAGGTGCCAAGCGATACATCTATTGGACATTTTAGTGTGTGGTACATATATTTATTTCGAATCTGAGTCCTTTTATGGGGCGAGCAAAATGGACACCTATACTACCCACCAAAGTGTTTGGTTAGATATTTCATATCCAACGATTTTTTTCCCCGAAATGCTAATTTTGAATCTTTTTTGTCGCTTTCACGCAGTTAAAAGGAATTACAAAAGTCATAAAAGAGAAAACACGTCCCAATGTAAAATTCTCATTGTACCTGAAGAAGACTGGTTTGGCCAGCCGAAATATATTACACCTTCAAAAAAATCATTCTACGTTGTGTCGGTTTCTGCTTTTGAATTCCTCAGAAAAGGACTGCAAAAATACTGAGCTAATCCAGGATTAGCAAGAATTTTGATTTCATATTTGTAACCTTTCGGTGAGGTTTTCTGTTTATATTTTTTGTCCTACAGTTTTGAGCTGGAATGAGTAATCTCACATAGGCAGTGAAAAACACTTTTAAACAAGAGAAATGAATACTTCGGTTTACTTTTAATCCTGGGTTAGCACAGTTAACCGGCTTTCGAACAACCCGGCCCAGGGCTCGTTTCTCGAAGTTCCCGAAAAATTTTCGCACCCGGAAAGCCGCAGCAAAATCTCAAACTTTATGATTACAGAGCTGTTTTATTCACATATTCTTAATATGAACAGAAGTTCCCTTCATACAAGGAGTTTCAGGCGTACACACCTCTCTGTTTTTAGATACAGATAAACTAAAAATGGCTTTGCGAGCCCGAAAAGTTTCCGGGCCTTTCGAGAAACGGGCCCCTAGGGCGGAAGTATAGCCTGTTCCACCGAGGCGCTCGCTCAGTGGGTATGATCAAGCAAGCGGGCTACAGAAAAACGAGCAGGGTCAGGAAGAGAGAAGAAGAAGGCTTCCTTCCCTTGTTTTCATTTTACCTGATCGTTAGTTAAGTGAAAGTCGGATATTTTTCAGTGATTGCTTTTGTATATTGTTAATTGGAATGCATGTAAACTTTCTTAACTTCCTTTCCAATACGTTGGTATCATGAATAACCTGTGGTCCTACTATAGTCGAACCCCTATTAAGCGGCCAACTTTTAAACGGCCACCCCTATTAGGCAGCCAGCAATCAAAGTCCCGATGAGATTTTTTTCTTTTGACTAAGTATCGTGATATCACCGTTAAAGCATTATTGAAAAGGCCTCCAAAGCCAGACTGATCAATTATTACAATTAACTTACCCTATTTGCATGTGTCATAACCTAAACATTAAATTTGATTCTTACAGCTCTGTTGGGATAGCTAGATAAAGAAAAAGAAGGCAGAGGACCGACGATGTAATTTTTGCTCTGGTAATTCCTAGTTAGGCAGAGCCTGTCTATAACTTGATGGAAGCACCAGTGGCATCGATATTGCGAACCATGTTAGAAAAGGTTGGCAAAAACAACCTGAGGCTGAGATCCCGTTCTGGTGACACTGCCATGTCGAGACTCGAGATGGAAGCAACTAGTCATAGTACTCTAAGCATCCGTGCGGTGATGCCATATCTAGGGAAGGTCCATCCATACTTTGGTAACATCAGAATCCGCTACTGCTCTTAAGATTGAAGGGAGTGAGACGCTGGTACAGTAGACTGCAAATACATGAACAACCACTCATTGCTCCGGATCATATTAATATTATTGACTATAGCTGTTCGTTAAAAAATAAATAAATAAATAAGTAAATAAACAAATTAATTAATTAATTAATTAAGATAAATAACCTTTATTCACACTCGGCAGTGTGAAGTATAAAGTGTGTTTTTTTTTTTCAAACTAAGAAGCTACAGGAATAGCCGGTAAACAGTAACAGACTACTTATTCCGGTTTGCTCTCTTGAGTGTCACTGGCATCAGTCGTCAATGCCAGGCGTAAAGTAGCTTATACAACAGACCATGAGAATAACCAGTGTGAAAGGAAGGAAAATCACTCCAATCACCACATAAAACAAAACAAGTATTGCTACTTCAAAACGACTCTTGTCATAAGGACAACTCCACCGGGTGCATTTTTTCCTCACGACTACGTCATCCACAATGACAGCAGTGGCCTGTATACTTTCCTGGCCCGTGGAGGGTGCTGACACGACATTCGGCACTTCAACGTCTACAGTGACCACCTCAGTCACGTGGTGCATCTGCTGTAGGCTTTGAGTGGTATCCAGGCTCACCTCGGGACCACTAATTGCGTTGTCGGTTCCCGTACCGCCGCTCCCACCGATTCCCGTAGCAGCATCCGAAGCAATTGTCGACAGGAAGTACTCGCCGCGAAGGCTGCTGCCTGCTGTGGAGGTCTCATAGACGGCAACTCTTAAGTCGACAATAGTGCGAGAAGTGCTTGAGGCCGCCAAATCTACTTCTTGAAAGCTCTCTTTTTCTTCTCCATGCTCTCCTGATCGACCCGGGCAACTGTTGTCCCTGTAATTCGATAACAAGAGTGGCGATCAGTTAGCTGTCAGTTTTCACGCACTTGCATTAATATTTTGTCCTGTCGCTAAGTTTAAATTGCGAAATTAAGTTGCCAAATTATTAACATTGATTCACATTTGTATTTTTTTTTTATTCACTTTTAAACGGAAAGTTTTCTGCACCACAACACAAAACGAAATACTTAGCCTCTACGTTTCCATATTCAGTATCTGCGAAAATATCAATATCGTTATCTCTGGTAAACTCCTTGTCCCATCAGAAAAAAAGCTTAGATTAAGACTTAAACTCCACCCCTCCCCCGAATTTGTATTTAATGATTCTTTAGTGACCATTTTCTCACTAAAATATTCCTAGATAAGATCCTTGTCACATTTCAGGGATTTTAACATCGGATCAATCGGGGTAATAAACTTTGGCCCAGAAGTTAGCAAAAAAGTATTGATCAGTTTATTCAAACTTATGCTACCTAGTCGTATAGAAACATTTCTTAACTTAAGGGTCTTTAAAAATCGTATACAATCTGTACAAAATGGTATATAATCCGGTCACCAAAGGGCCACAAAAATCTGGCCGTATTAACGCGGTGGTTGTATCAAAGGGGTTCTTTAAATAAGAATGTGACTGACTGAGCTTTCGGGCCAGAAGAAAGCCGCTGTAATAACGAGGTGGACGTATCAATGAATGGGGTGGTCGTAAGGCGGGGTTAATTCTATGAAAGTTTAAATGTAAAACAATATGCATTCCTACATTATAATTAAAAGCCTATGTTACTATTAGAATTAAGTATTAATCCATCTGCTATAGTTAATAAGTTTTTTAACATATGAGATCTTCTTAGAAAAGCACAGTAGTGCTTGCTAAGATCTCCAGCCATTATTTTGTGATATTCTGCAACAGATTTATGCCAATTTGTGTAATTAAAATATAATAGTCAAATAAAAAAGTAAATAAAAAGAAAAAGAAATTAAAGAACTTGAATTTTCCATTATGCAATAACAGGTGGTGAAGAAACTTTTATTTTTGATTCGTCTCAATTAGCTAAAAATCAAAATCAATCAATTCATTGCACAAAATAAACAGTTTAAAGTTAACAAGACATCTTTTTACCTTCATGTTTGGAGGACGATTTCAGCTAAATGCTCGAAAAACAACTCTAGAAACGTTAATAAATGGTTACCTTTCGCGCCCGCGTTCACCGAGAATGTATCGCGGATACGCACCGATTTAACAGCGATTAAAAAGAGCCATT